CAACGCGCGCCACCCGCAGCCCCAGCTTCCAGCCTGCACCCGCCAGGACGCGTGCGAGCACCCGCCGGGCCCTGCCCGCCCGCTGGGCGGGTGGGGAGAGCTGCGCCGCGCCGCCAGGGTGGGGAGGATCCACCCCCACTGCCTCTCCTTGCCTCTTCCCCTCTCCCTGCATCCCATCTGGCGGAGCAGGATCCCACCTGTCCATCCGCTCCCAGGGAAGGCTCAGCCACTTTTCACCGAGGACTCCACTTCTGGGGACACCCCATTCACCCGCCCGGCCTCTCCAGGTTCCCCCAGGGACAGCTGCGGCGCCTGCCCTCCCAACCCTCTTCCAGCCCAAGCTGGGGTTTTTAGAGAAGCAGCCTCAAATTCCAGAGTGGAGGCCCACCTATGCTACAGTCTCCTGGGAGCCTTGGTGGCAGGGGCTGGGGAGGTGGGACCAGGGCCAAAGGTCTACTCAGGGGCGAGGGGGCATGTCTGACCACCTCTGGGATGCAGAGACGTCTCCTCCCCCTAAATCTGGGCCGGGCCTGAGTGGGAACCGCGGGCGCTGTGTGGGCTGCCTTCCTGCGCAAGTGTTTCCAGTGGGAGGTTGAGGGGGACTTTAGAAAGGACTTCACCCCTCCCCTGGCCCCCTGGCCATCAGGAATTCCTTCCTGCTGTCAAGCCTCAGTCCTGCCTACTGCAGTTTTAGCCAGCTTCCCTCTCCTGAGTTCAACGCAGGAGGAGAGTGGCTGCTTATCTTCTCTGCTCGGGCCCTTTGGAGATTCAGGGACTCAGTACTGGCCGGGTCACCCTCCCTGCCCTCCCAGCTGTGGGGAGTGGGCTGGGTCAGGCTATCTCCCCCAGTGGACAGAGAGCAGAGAAGGCAGACAGACGGCTGGCCCCTGGAAGCGGAAAGGCCCTTCTCACTTCCAGGCTGTGTGCTGTGTGGGGTCCCCGCCACACCCACTCCTCCCTCAGCTCACCCTCCAGCCTGCCCCTGTGCCCTAATCCCAGCCCATGCAGCTGCGCTACTCCATAAACCGGCTGACGTGGGGCCTCCTCCTGTGCTCTGGCTCCTGCATAGCCGCCCCACCTCGTCATGAGCCTCAACTGCCCACATCTGGGGCAAGCAGCACCCTGGCAGCAGAGGGACAGCCAGCCCTGCCTGTCTGGGATGGGCCTCCTGCAGGCCTCCTCCACCCTCAACCACCATGGCCTCTGTGCGCTGAGGCGCAGAGCAAGCTGAGGCACCCAGAAGAGGACGAAAGGCCTCAGCGTGCCCCAGTGACCTGGCCGCATCTAGCCACCATCACCCAGAAGGATGCCCACGAAGACGCTGGCCCTCAGAGCAGCCTGGCAGTGCCAGCTGGACCCCCTCACTGGAGAGTCAGCAGGCGTGGGCAGCCACTTCCATGCCAAGGTGGTGGCTTCTCTGCAGACCAGCCCAGGGGAAGACTTGAGGGGGGACAGCCTTCAAGGTTCATCCCATGCTGATGCAGAAGCTCCCAGAACACTCAGGAAACCACTCCGGACAGAGCTCTCCTTGTCGACCTGAGGCCCTCCCGAGGCCCTCTACTGCCCTCTGGGTCTAGCAGAGGAGGTGGAGGAGGGGCCTTTCCTTCCCTCCTAGAGCTTCTCTGAATGACAATCAGCTCATGTCAGGTGGGGACCGGGCATGACCCCGGCTGCCCAGGTCCTGGGCCTGCTCCTTGCCACCAACCGAACCGTGAATGTAGGGCTCCCAGACTCCTCTCTGCCCCAGGACCAACAACATACTGGTTTGGAGTTGGGAGGAAGGGGGTGCTGAGAGAGCCCAGGCCCATCCCACCCAGCTTCACCCAGGACTGGAGCTGGTAGAGACTCAAAACCCAGTCTGCCTTTGGGATTCCAGACCTCCCTAGGGCTCCCAACTGACCTCAGGCCTCTGAGTCACTGAATGTCACTAGGTGAGGGGGGGCGAGAAAGGCCTAGTAGGGGGAGGCAGGTAGGGGACCGACTCTGCTCCTCTCCCCAGGAAGGATCCAGGGCAGAGGACACCATGCTTCCCAGTACTCCCAGCCCCAGCTGCACCCTCCTCCCCCGACCATCCATCCCCACCAGGCCCTCCTGTCCCCAAGCTACAAGAGTGTCACACCACCGCCACCACAACTGCCATGCCAAAACCCTCACCCCTGCCTCAGCACTCCCCCATTTTGATAGCCTACCACTGGCTCAGATTCAGGGTCTGCTCAGCCCAGAACATGCTCTCCCTCCCAGCCACACCATGCATGAAGGGGGCACAGGAGAGGGTCGTGCTCTGGGCACATGGCCTCCCCCTTCTCAGCTCCTCGCAAGGGCCTGGCTTGCTTAGTCTTTTCAGCTCCAGGGACTGGCCCTGGTAGGCAGTGGGTGGAGGGCAAAGAATCACCCTCCCCCACGCTTGGGAAGCCACTGAAGAATGTTTACATGCCAAACAGAATGTAACACCCCTCCCCCACCCTTCCCAGTCACTGCATGGCCTCTGCCCATCCCGTGCCTGCCCACCCCACCCCAACACCCTGGAAGCCGCTGTCATGATTAGGTCGGGTCTTGGAAGGGAAGTAGCCATCACACCATTAAAAAGCCTGTGGACCTTTCTGTTGGCCTGGACTCTTCTTCCCCTTGAGGGGCAAGTCAAAACCCAATCTCTGGGGCTGGGGCGGGCAGGAGAGAAGGGCAAGGCGGTAGGCAAGTGCAGGGGGCCTGCTTCGAGGCAGGTATTGTATCTACAGAAGAGGAAATGGACGCCCAGGAGGGACCCAGGTGACTTGCTCAGGGTCACATAGGTGGAAGGGGACTGTCCTATCCCTCTGCTAGCAAAACTTGTGGTCTTCAGACAGTGACACTAAGTCTGGCTTTGTACAGAAGCAGGGAGAAGACTTCATTGCCCCAAAGATAACAGACAAAAACGTTCGGAAAAAAAAAAAAAGCATAGCAGATCACAGGCAAGGATATTAATATAGTAAAATCTATCCAAATCACAAATGAACATTGATTGCATCTCCACTTCTAGAAATTTATACTGTGGATATACTTGTGCCCTTGCAAAATCACATGTCCAAAATTATCCTTTACAGGGCCAGCAGGTGGCGTGGTGGTTAAGGCGTTGGACTCCCACATGGCCAACTGAGGTTTGAGTCTGGAACCCGGTGTAAGTGCGTGCCCCAAATCCCGAAAGGAAACTGGAGAAGAAGGGATTGCGGCGTGGTCATTCCCCCCAGAGGGTGATTTTTCACTGTCTCTTTGTCTCTCTCTGGCAAATGCACATGCCCTATGACCAAAAAAGAAAAAAAAAATTTGCAGTATTCATATAACTCCACAAAGCCTCACCTGCACTTATAAGACCAAAAAAGTTTTGAAAACTGGGAGTTTTTTCATTAGATTGACACTGTCATTTGGTAAGACCATTTACAGTCTTCATTAATTCCACTTATTATATGTATTTGCAGTGGAAATATTAATGTGATCGATGATGGGTCACCACTCTAGATCCTATTAGTATTTCATAACATATGGAATATGCACTAAATTACCTTTGTATATATAGAGGGGACTTCAAAAAAATCTGTGGGAAAATGGAATTAAGATATAAGTTTAGGGGCCAGCAGATGGCATAGCGGTTACGTTGCTGGACTCCCACATGGCTGACCATGGTTTGAGTCTTGGACCCGGTGGCTTGAATAATCACACTGGGTGCATGTGTATGCATGCCCCAGATCCCAAGAGGAGGATGGAGGAGAAGGGATTGTGCCGTGGCCATCCCCCCTGGGGAGTGATTTCTTAGTTTCTCTCTCGCTGTCTCTATCTCTTGCTCTTTCCAGTGAGTGCACATGCCCTAAGGCAAAAACCTCGAAATGTATACATATATGAGTTTATTGGACCAGCCAGTTCACATAGTGGTTAAGGCAACTGGATCCCACGTGGCTGACTGTGGCATGAATTCTGGACCCAGTGGCTTGAAAAACCTGCTGGGTGCGTGTATGTGCGTGCCCAAAATTCAGAGAGGAGAGTGGAGGAGAAGGAATTGCAGCATGACCATCCCCTGCTAGGGAATGCTTTCTCTCTCTCTCTGGTGTGCGCACGTGCCTTATAGCAAAAATAAATAAATACATTTTAAAAAGATATGCGTTTATTTTGGTGTAAAATGTTTAAAATCCATGCACAGCTTTTGTATGACACGCATTTTCCACGAACTTTTTGAAGTATGTGTGTGTACTCGTAATCCCAACCATTCGGCTCAGAGACCGCGGTCCTGTGCAAGTGAAGAACTCAGGGGCCTGCTCTGTGTCCTACTGGTTATGTAAGCTGGGTCCCACATGGCTGACTGTGGTTCCAGTCCCTTCTGGGGTCTTGAAAACATGCTGGGCATGCATGTGTGTGTGTCCTCCAAATTCCCAGAGGATGGAAAGATGGAGGGAGCCAGCAGTTAGCGTAATGGCTATGTCGCTGGACTCCCACGTAGTCGACCGCGGTTCGTGTCCCGGACCCGGTGGCTTAAAACTCACGCCGGGCGCGTGTGCATGCGTGCCCAAGATCCCGAGAGGAGAATGGAGGAGAAGGGATTGCAGCGTGGTCATCCCCCCTGGGGGGTGATTTCTCGCTTTCTGTCTCTATGTCTCTGTCTGTCTGGCGAGCGCACGCGCCCTATAGCAAAAAACCTCTCCCCCAAAAAAGAAAGATGGAGAAGGGATTGCAGTGTGACCACACTCCACTAGGGGGTACTTTCTCCCCTGTCTGTCTCTGGCACCATACGTACCCTCTGGCCATTTTTTAAAAAAGGAAAAGGAAAAACTCAGAAATAAACTAAATGTCCTTGAATTGGGGCTGATCAGGAGAGCGTGGCCCCCGTGTGGTGGGGACCAGCGTGGGATGCGCGAGATTCGGAGATGGAGGAGGTAGCTTTCTGTATATGCCTAGGGCCTTGTCTCCAAGACAAAGAATAAGACAAAGTCGCATGCGTGCCCTGCTGACTGCAGAGTGG